AATAAATTTTCCTTCGAACACAAAGGATACGATATTTCCTGCCACGTGCGCGCTTGCCTCTTTAATATCCCAACAAAAGAGACTCAATTAATGACTCTACATTTCAAATACAAATTACATTTTCAAGATGCATCAGAGCACAAATAAATCTGGCAAATGGTAAAAAAAAAAATCCGCATCCAGAGTTCCAATCTTTGTTCTGCATAGTGGTGACAACACAGGCAATTTATTTCTGTTTTGTCACTATGGAAACGAAAACAACCGCTCATTTTCAAGCTTGATGGTATTGAATTTGAGTCAATTGAGTCAAGTTCCTTTATCTAAGTTTAAGTTATTGTTTTATTTACTTCCTCTTTCTCACATGGTGTTCTACCAAAACTTAGCCTTATTGTTTTATTTTTTATCAGAAGTATTAATTTCCACGATGTCAGCAAAAAATATTATAGAAATAATTTGCTTTTGTGACGATGAATAATTGTTTTTGGACCGATGAGTTTTTGAGTAGGAATGTTTTCTTCTTGTATCAGTAAACCTTCAAAGGACAAACGTGTTTTGAACCTGCTTATTCACCCATTACCACCAATTTCTAATACGGACAAGCTTCGCCTTTGTTCTCGAAAGGGACTCAATGTTTTTCCCATCACAGCGTGTTTCAGCTGTTTTTAAGGTAATGGCGAACTGAACCATGCATATCGAAGTTTAGAGTCAGCGCTAATTGCTGTAAACACTTTAACACATCTCGAATATACGAATAACAGTTGAATCGCAAGCAATTAATATTGTGCGTGATATCGAAATTGGGTTATATTCCAATTTGCCTACGTTGCACTTTATTGTTTAACAGAACAAAGGAAAAGTACTAAATTGTCCTTGGAATGTCCTTGGAAAAAATTAAAAAACAGAACGCCTGTACCCTCAGTGATAATAGTATGGTAATGGACAAGAATAACTAGAGGTTAATCAGCTACCAAGAAGCTAGCACAAACTTTTCAAAGGGAAGTAAAATATTTATTACGAGTTCCTGTTTATTTTACTATTTTATTGAAAAACTTTTGTTTTTTCTGAAAAACTTAACAAAAGGGGTAACTGTATATATGTTTGCCTGCAAACATATATATAATGGACGAGAATAACCAGAGGTTAATCAGCTACCATGAGGCAAGCACAAAGTTTTTAAAGGGAAGTAAAATATCTATTACGAGTTCCTGTTTATTTTACTCTTTTATATAAAAAAACTTTTGTTCTTCCTGAAAAACTTAACAAAAGGGTAACGATATATGTTTACGTGCACAATTAATTTTAAATTGCTCTAAGACGCCTCACCTCATTGTTGAGTTTTTTTTTTCCATTTACGCAGCTGAACATGTGCAGAAGAAAAAAATATATATAAAATGGCAAGAACACTTGATCAAAACCACAGTTGTAGAATCAGTCGAAGATGAAGGGCATTGTAGTGGTCTGTGTTCTTCTTGGCTTCTCTGTAGCAAATCCGAATCCAAGCAGGCGGTCTCTGTCATGTTCTGGTGAGAAAAAAAATCCTTCTTCTTCTTCTTCTTTTTTTGTCCTTCTTAATGCTTTATTTTGTACTAAAATTGTGACACGTACCTAAAGGTTAAATTTACCCTGTTTTGTTTTTCTCTTTTTTCTTTTCAGATTTTCCAAAGCAGTTATCGGGGAGGCTGTTCTTGGTATGCTTCATCGACTCATTTTCTTTTTACATAGGGAACTGAATTTATTGTAGCAATGGGCCTTGAAATATATCGTGTTATACAACAGAATCTTCTGAAGGATTTTCTGTTTCGTTACTAACTGAATATTTGTTAGGAGGCACTCATATTAAAAAAAAATTTTCGCATGTTTGTCTGTTGGACTGTTGGTCTGAACGTCTGTTCTTTATTTTTGTCTGTTCGACTGTTAAACTGTTTGTTCATGCTAGCAGTAGACACATGCAGTTATTGGGTGCCTATTTTTACGCTTATAGTAACAATAATCATCATCATCATTATCAGCGAGAATTTTTTTCTTTTTTTAGGTTGAGACGGATGAGTCAGGCTCAACTGAAACAAATAGCAAGGCATTCTCTGTAGATATGAGTCTTGGACGAATGCAGGTAGAGATGGGCGATGAAATTTTGATAAAGGACTATAGAGAGGTAATGAAACTTTCCCTTTTATTTTGAAAATATTCATGACACGCGTTAAATTGGATTTATGGAGCCTTTCGAAAGAGCGCCTGCGATTCCAATTTTATTAGCAGTGGCATCATAGTTTTTTGTCACTATTGAGCGATTTTTTCTTTACTAAGAAAACAGCATCAACAACATAGAAAGAACAATAACAACAAAAACAACACAACGGCCAATGGGTGCAAAAGGAAATATGGCAAGGAATCAATCATTATTAGGCGGAAAAAGCTAACTCGAGCGTCAAACGTACACTGCAGTTAACAAAATCGTAATTGGTTTATGTTTCTCGTCTGGAAAATTGAAAAATGACACAAGTTTATGGCCAAATCCCTGAAAGTAGTAAACTTATATCAAAGTAGTCCTTTATGAATTGTGGCACTCAATTGGAAATAGCGACGTTATCATTTGAGTGAGACCTTATGATCTGAATCTTAGTAATGAATAAGCTAACAAATTGCATCTGTAATTCATTAAGATTTCTTTTTTTTTGCCTTCAAAACGAATTTCTCGATAGGGTAAGACTTATAAAATAAGTTCAGATGGATGCTATATTGACTCATTGGAGGAGAAAAGTTTTACTGAATTTCTGGAGGAGTTACCGCTGAACTTTGTCGCCACTGGTTCACTTGGATCGAAAGGAGCATCAGTTGATGTTTATTCGTTTAAAGATGGTGAAGGTGAGAATTGGACCCACAGTAATGCTTGTTATAGACCACTAGCAGTGTGTACACTGTTTTTTTTTTCTGTCTTGGAAAACTCAATCTTTCGTTCAAACTAAATTTTACTAAGAATTCCTCGTCATCATTCAGACCAAGAGAAAGTAATGCCGCATTTTCTCTCATTCAAATGAATTGCATGCCAATATAAAATGATATTTCTTCATTTGCTTTTAAATATTTATGAGGTTGGTGCTGTAATTTTTGAAATATAGATATAAAAATAATTGTTTTAGTTTAAATCCCACTTTTTTGATTTTGTTTCTTAGTTTGTTTGTTTGTTGGTTTTTTTGTTGTTGTGAAAATGCAGAAGTAGGAGTGGTAACGCTAGAGTCTGGCAATCAATGTATCCCAGCAAGCTATGCTGTGAAGACAGAGTACTCCGCCATATCAGGAAGGTAAAGTTTGTCCAATAAACTCGCGGATTGTATATTATGCTTCTCTAGATTTTTAGTTTCGTTATACAGCGAACCGTAGAGGGTGACAAGAGCAGACAATGAAAAATCACCATTGTGTTACCTTTGTTTAACCATTTACACCGTAATAATATCAGTATGCATATTCTCCATACGGATATTCATACATAACCCACTGTACTCACCAGGAGAATTTGCTTAATAATCAAGTACTTCTTTAATTGATGATTATTTAACTCTAGTCACTCTTTGGGATTAAAGGGCTCTTTGGGATTAAAGGATTAACTTCTATTACCTTTTCCGAGGAAATATTTCGATTTTCAAGGGAGATCTTTATCACCAAGCAAAACACGCGTTTAAAACTTGAAAACTTCCGAGATAAAAAAAAAGCCTATCAGATTTCTAAATGTTCGTATGATTTCTTCTGATTTTTCCAGTTTTCTTGACTTGAAGACTACGCTTGATCCTGAGAAGTTGGTTATACCAGAAAAATGCAAGCAAGCAATCAGTGGCCGATCCGTTCCAGCGCTTTCACGGAATGCGCTGACTGACGCATTCAGTTTGTTTAACTCTCTAAGTGTTGCTGGTAAACGGGGATTCCCCTGGGTTCTCGGAAAGAAAAACGGAAGGAAAAGGGAATCACCCTGGATTCTCGGAAAGAAAAACGGAAGGAAAAGGGGATTTCCCTGGATCCTCGGGAAGCAAACCGGGCGTTAATGGGGCTGTCCCTGGATTAAACCAGGGAAGCTGACGAGTTATCGGGATTTCTGATCCAGGTTTCAACTGAGATTAGATGATAGGTCGTACGAAGGCTAATGTACAAGCTTAGTTCTTCATTAAAATTAATATCAGTGAAATAGCCTTGGCGTTCTGACTTACTAATTGAGTTATCCAACAGGTACAATTCAAACCTTTGGGGATAATTTCTCAAGTCAATTGTCTAAAAAAAACTTGGTGGTTCATAGCCAATTTTCCTTTCACTGAATATTTACTTAGTGATGGGCTGGTACATAAAAACCGTCTTTCAGCACGTGAAATGTGAAAAACGTGAAATGCGAAGAACGTGAAATTCATTCGTTGATCATCGAGTTGTAATATAAAAGACGTGGAATGAAACGTGTCTCCCCTCCCCCATTCCCAACTCATGTCTCCTCGAACTTGACACCTCCGATTTTTAAACCTCTCGAGCTCGGAATGTCCAGGTCAAAGCTCTAGTCACCTAAGAAAGACGCAACTCATACACTATGCTTTTTGCGACAGCTGTTTATTAGACCATTGAAAATACACTTTAAATCAAGCTCCACACGGAGTTTTTCTTCCCGGCTTTCTGTGACCAGTGAAAAAGAAGCTTCTGATCTGGAACTGATTCCTACTTGGCAAATTCGTTACCACTGAAAAGCTGCGCATGCTCCATGAGTCGTCCACGGCTACTCACACTCTCTTGGAGGAACAAACCGTTCAGGGTCCACCCCAAGTTCCAGATCATAATAGCTGAAAAAGAAGAGAGAAAAAAAAAAAAACTTTTAAGAGACCAGTTATCTATCGCATGGGTGGAGGAGAAGATTGTAACAGAGTATAAAGGGGGAAACTTAAGAAAAAAAAATTGACCGCCCTAAGAATATAACAGAGTCTTATGGGGGAATAAGCTAAATTTTACCATGCTACCACCAAAATCTTCCGACC